AGCTTGCCCCCCTTGGTGCTGCCGCCTGCTGGCTTGCCAGCCCACCGACTGCCCTTCCTCCGCCATGCTGCCAGCCTGGCCACGGGATGGCCGTCAGGGCTCTGCCCCAGTCAGCCTACTTGTGTCCTCCACCCTGCCTGACTGTGACACTGCCCCACACCCCCTTAAAATGCGGGAAGGAGAGGAAGAAGTGCTTTGTGGACTCACGCGAGGACCTCAAGAGTACCCCAGAGCCGTCTGGTCCCAGGGAATGGGGCACAGTGTGCCTCATGCCAGGTGGGGATGGGCCCTGAGAAGCCTCTCCAGGCCTTTCCCTCTGAGCAGTGCTCTCCTCCCCTGGGCTCTGGCAGGCCTCATTTGCTGGTGCGGCTGCCAGGGCGGTTGCAGGGGCGGGGCAGGTGTGGTTTACACTCTGCACTGAGGACCAGCCGCCCTTTGTTCCTGGCACTCCAGCGGGCTCTGCACTCTGCTGCGTGGAGCCAGGCTGCCCTGGCTGAGGTGGGAGATGGAGGGCATGGGCTATGGGCCTCGCAGGGCCCTGCCTCTGACCTGTGCACCCCTGTTGGCTCCCTTCTCCCAGCGGCCTGGCATGTCTCCAGGGAGCCGGATGCCCATGGCTGGTTTGCAGGTGGGACCCCCTGCTGGCTCCCCATTTGGCACAGCTGCTCCACTCCGACCTGGCATGCCACCCACCATGATGGATCCATTCCGAAAACGCCTGCTCGTGCCCCAGGCCCAGCCCCCGATGCCTGCCCAGCGCCGGGGGTAAGACCGCCCTGTCTTGCCCGTCTTACCTAGTCTTGCTGCAGTGGTAGCAGAGCTTCCGTCCTTCTACCTTAGGGGCTTCTGTGACTGAGGAGACTCCTGGCTTTCCCAGGGAAGGGGTCTGAGCAGTGTATTGGGGGGTGAGCATCCCTGGACCACTGATTTCTTAGATGGTTTTCTCTCCTCCCAGGTTAAAGAGGAGGAAGATGGCAGATAAGGTTCTACCTCAGCGAGTGAGTGTGCTGGGGGTGGCAGTCCATCTTCCCCAACCCCGGGGTAGGGGAGGAAGGAGCAAAGGGCCGGGGCTGCAGCCTAAGCACGCTAATTCCTTCTCCCTCCAGATTCGGGAGCTTGTCCCAGAGTCTCAGGCATACATGGATCTGCTGGCTTTTGAGCGAAAGCTGGACCAGACCATTGCTCGCAAGCGGATGGAGATCCAGGAGGCCATCAAAAAGCCTCTGACGGTATGTGCAGCCTGACCTCCCCAGGCCTGGATCAGATGTTTGTCTGTGTGGCTTTGTTTTCAGGGGCCGTGCAAAGGGTCTGCACGGGTGGGATTGGGGTTCTTCACATCGGGATGCCGCTCACTGCAGAGCACGACTCAACCAAATGTATTGGGGCCAGCGTGTTTTTTAGTGGCTATATTGTAGAACTGTCAGAAAACCACTTCCTACTAGTAAAGTACTTAGCATGGTACTGAGGCTATTAGTCCATGATTTCTTTCAGATATTTACACACATACTGTATGTGGATGCTGGGCCATGACTTAAAATGTTGATTTTTATGGTTTGCGAGCAGAAGTTTTGAAAGTCACTAGACTAGGGGGTAGATGAGAGGCAGTTCCTTTTTCTTTCCCCTTCTCTAGAGAAACCTCTCCTTTCCCTCGCTTTCTTCTTTTTAAACTGGTACTCTTGAACAGCTCCTGAGCAGCGCAGGCTTTCCAGGAGACTAGGATATTTGGGGTCGTGATGGGCTTTTGGATTTTCTTTAAAATGTGAGCCAGAGGCTTCTGACGGACTGGGTAGAGCCCTTGTGTGCCTGTGTGGGCACTGCCGGTGATGTGTGTTCCCCACAGCACTGTGAGTTCTCTGAAGGTCAGACCGAGGTTTACCTCTGATTTCCAGCATGACAAAGGGCCTGGCCCATAATGCTCACTTGTGTAGATTGCTGTGTGAGCTCACACGGGAAGATTGGGTGGCATTGTTTTCCAGCATGTTCGTCCACCTCTCATTATCTTTCTTTCTTTAGCAAAAGCGGAAGCTACGGATCTACATTTCCAATACGTTCAGTCCCAGCAAGGCAGATGGTGATAATGCAGGAACTGCAGGGACTCCTGGGGGAACACCAGCAGGGGACAAGGTGGCTTCCTGGGAGCTCCGAGTGGAGGGAAAACTGCTGGATGATGTGAGTTGGAGGACACGTCGGGAGGGGAGGAGGCCTGTGTGGGTTTAAGACTGAGGTCAGAAACCAGCACCATGGGAGAGGGCACAGCAGGGCACCAGTTGGTTTATTTGTGTGGTTATTATGAAGACTCCCCTGCAGGTGGCAGTCAAAGGCCTTGAGAAATCCCTCATTGGCCAGCAGTGGGGCAAGAGCCTGTTCACTGCCTCCAGTCTCTCACTTGCCTGTAGTTGGTCTGTGTCCTTTAGAGTCCAAGAACCTCAGTGTTCCGAGCTCCAGGGCTGAAAGGACACTCCTCTTTTCTGGGCTAGCATAGCTTTGGGTTCAAGAGCTCAGCAGCATCCTATCTCCTACCACTTTTCCTTCCCAGCCTAGCAAACAGAAGAGGAAGTTTTCTTCATTCTTTAAGAGCCTCGTTATTGAGCTGGACAAGGAACTGTATGGGCCTGACAACCACCTGGTGGAGGTGAGAATGGACCTGGGGCATGGTGAGAACAGGCTGCCCAAGGACACAGAGCACAGACAGGTGCAGAGAAATAGCCTCAGTCCCTTCGGGAGGCCTGTCCTTTTGCTGATACGCTCTGCCCCCCTTCTTCCTGCCAGTGGCACCGGATGCCCACCACCCAGGAGACAGATGGCTTCCAGGTGAAACGGCCTGGAGACCTCAATGTCAAGTGCACCCTCCTGCTCATGCTGGATCACCAGGTGACAGATACCCTGGGGCCATGTCTGGGATCATAGCCCACAGCAGCTCATCTAGGGGAGGGGAGGGGAGCAGGTTCCTGTAGATGCTTCCTGTCCCTGCCCTGTTGTGCTTGTTTTTACTCACAAGACTCTCTCCTCTGACCCCCCTGTCCATTCCCAGCCTCCCCAGTACAAACTGGACCCTCGACTGGCGAGGCTGCTGGGTGTGCACACACAGACCCGGGCTGCCATCATGCAGGCCCTCTGGCTTTACATCAAACACAACCAGCTACAGGATGGGCACGAACGCGAGTACATCAACTGCAACCGTTATTTCCGCCAGGTGGGCCAAACACCACCCTCCTCTCGTGGCCCCTGCCTTGCCTGCTGCTTGGGAGCTCCAGTGGGCTAGCTCGTGGCTAGTCTGCAGACTGCCACTCTCTTTGGTCCTGGGCTGGTCCCCTTCCTCTGTGCCCTCAAAGGCATCACAAGCTTTGGTGCTCTCTCCAGATCTTCAGCTGCGGCCGACTCCGTTTCTCTGAAATTCCCATGAAGCTGGCTGGGCTTCTGCAACATCCAGACCCCATCGTCATTAACCACGTCATCAGGTAAATGAAGGATGAGTGGAAAGGCTCTTCTAAGAGCACATCCACCTTTGACTTGATTGAAAGCCACGGAGAAGCAGCAAGTTGGTTTCTCGTACTCCGAATGGGCCCTAGCTTTGGCTCACGGGGATGGAGCAGGAGGAATATAGCTCTGTGCTTCCCTACCCGTATGCTGCCTGTAGCGTGGACCCTAACGACCAGAAGAAGACGGCCTGTTACGACATTGACGTGGAGGTGGACGACCCACTGAAGGCCCAGATGAGCAATTTTCTGGCCTCCACCACCAATCAGCAGGAGATTGCCTCCCTGGATGTCAAGGTGGGCCTGCTGTCCCCCCAGCATCCTCTGGGGCTTATGATTGGGTGGGCCAGCTCCTTGGGGATGAGATCTCTGACCCAGGCCTTTGGGCTTAGCCCTGGACGATAGGGGCAAGGGCTACTCTGACACGTACACTCCTTCCACAGATCCACGAGACCATTGAGTCCATCAACCAGCTGAAGACCCAGAGGGATTTCATGCTCAGCTTTAGCACCGACCCCCAGGACTTCATCCAGGAGTGGCTTCGTTCCCAACGCCGAGACCTCAAGGTATAGTCCTCCTTC